TTCTTCAGTGAAAATCGCCATTCAGATGTGCCATTTTCTGACCAAATGTGGTGATCAAGTTTTCAGTGTTGTTTACACATCTCTCTTTTAGTTTAATATACTTAAAAGCAAACCATAGCCATTTCTCAATGCCAAGTACGCAAAGTTTGGACTTGCGCCCTTGGTAGTACATTCTCCTGAGGACGGGAGGACACAAGTCCAGTAATTCTGCAAACAGAACATCAGTGTACTTGATAACGTCACGCAGCTTGCCTCGGCTACTCTGGTTATCCTCACTGTCTGTACAGTATATTTACAATGAGACGAAATATAATATCAAACACCACTGCCTCTGTTTGTTTTCATTTAAACATATTAATAGCCACAAAAATGTAGTTCAGGCAACGAGTACATATTTTGATTACCTTCACTGTATGTATACTTAACAAAACAAAATATAAAACACAACCCTCTTCATTTTAAAAATATAAAACATATTAATATATGGTTCAGGCAATATGTGCAAAATACTCTGATTATCTTCACTGTATGTATAATAAAATGAAATATGACCTAAAGCACAACACTGCCTCTTTTTGTTAAAGGGCTTATATGATGTTGCTAAAAAGAACATTATTTTGTGTATTTGGTGTAATGCAATGTGTTTATGCGGTTTAAAGTTCAAAAAACACATTATTTTACACATACTGTACATTATTGTTTCTCCTCTATGCCCCGCCTTTCTGAAACGCGTCGATTTTTACAAAGCTCATCGGTCCAGAAAGCCCGACCCAGTTTTCCAGTCTCTCTAGTAGTATGTTATGATCGACAGTGTCAAACGCAGCACTGAGATCGTCTCTAGGTTACGTATGTAACCATGATTCCCAGAGGGAACGAGACGCTGCGTAGAGTCGCTTTGGGAACGCCCTTGCGTGACCGCAATACGAGAAACTCGTGACAATCTGATGTCTCTACTGCCTTTGGGTCTCGCTCCCTGTTTGTGCCATCGATTAGTGTGACAATCAGTTTCAGCTTGTTCCTCTACACTTGGTATAAACTGTTGAGATTGACTAGGTTCATGGGACTCACCGGCTGTATGCTGAGGGGGTCCGTGACGACGGTCTGCTGAGTGTTCTGCCTGTTGTGGAAGTCCAGCAAGTAACTTTGTTTCAAGAACTGCAATCCTTTCTAGAAGTTTGCAGTAGTTCATGCAGCAAGTAGATTCAACAGGAGGCATTTTCTTTCTCTTCTGTTTGAATGTGGGCAGCTGTGTTTTCCCTTCTCCGGAATGTAAGCTGCTGGCAGTGGGAGGCAAAAGTCTTCTTTTTCGTGGTATTATTCCAGTCCCAGAGAGTTTTTTGTTTTAGTGTTTGTGCCAAAAATATGTTGTTTGAGCACTGTGCTGATCTGCTGAAGTAAAAATCTTAGAAAAATCAAAGAAAAGTACAGAAATAGGGAGCAAAGCGCAGAGCAGTAAGCAAGAACGTCCGAACGGTAGCGAAGCCGGATGCGGACCACTGACTTTGAATTCAGTCAAACTCAAAGTCAGTGCTGTACTACAGTAAAGCTGAATAAATATATAAAGTTATGAAACTAAACTTTGCGCTGAGGCAAAACGATATGACCAGGAACAAATAACAGATTCATGAGACCAAAGATTGCCTGTTATATTTACTCAAAACAAATTATATCTCATGTTTAACCACTACAGAGACATCAGAGCCAGCAGCACATGTCAGGACTAGCCGAGGTGAGGCTGGTCTCAGCGGGATTCATGAGCACTGGGCGTCCGCTGATCGCCTCGAGCTCACTTCTCCGAAATCAGCTAAGCAAATGTTCAAATAGGTGCTATCTTTATAAATAAACTGCAAATTTGAGTTTTAACCCCTTACCTGTCACCCCCCATTTTTGAACATAGACGTGAAAGTGCACTATCCAAACTTAAATTATTATAATTCATGAATGCGTTTGAATACAGATCTAAGGGTTGGTCTCTTTTTAAAGAAGACTATCAGCAAATTATGGCAGATGTAAAATCATTAAATAAATATAAAAGTATGAAAAAGTTATAGAAGTTTAAATTTACTGCAAAGAAAACGTACTGTACTATTTTTTTATATTTTATATAAAATAAATATTTTACAAAATAGTTTTTAATCCAAAATTGCTATAAAATTAAAGCCATATTTCTAAATAAGTTGTGTTCCAAATTTGAAGTTGATATTAAAAAAATTGAGGTTCCTATGCAAATTTGTTTAGGCGTTATACCAAAAACAGCCACCGGGTGCCATCCAAACTCCATTTAATTTTTTTTATGCCTTTTTCTGTCACAAATGTATAAATTTCTCTCTTAATATTACTTATATCACAAAATAAGATATGGAATCTTGAGACTCAGACCTTTCCAACGATATGTATTTTGTCAAGATTATAAAAAGTTTTGATTCTAAAAGTCCGTAATACATTTTGTAATATGACACCCCCCACTAAGGGGGAGGAGGCCTCTAAAATATTTTGAAGTACCATTTCTATGGTAACCCAATGTCCAATTTCAAAATGGATGAATTTTGAGATTTCAAGCTTTCAAATGATATATAATTTATTATGATTACTAAAACATGTGACAGGGAAAAAGGCAATGAATAAAAGACTTTTTGTGACAAAGGTCAGAACTCCTGTTATGATGTAGATCTGTTATGATGTAGAGGTGCACTCTTGTCATAAATTAATCTATTACTGTTCCTACATAATTTGTAACAAAATACAGTGGTGAAATATCTATTTAGGAGTCTTAGACCTTTCCAGCAATATATAGTTTGTCATGATTAGATTAGGATTTAATTATAATATAGTGAAGTAATCATAGGCGTCCCGCCAACAGGACGGTGACAGTTAAACAACTACATTCTCACCTGAAAAACTCTATACATTTCATGACACAATGATAGTAATATTTTGAAAATTATGCATGTTTTCTCCTCCGCCATTAATGCTAGCTGGTTGGCTGCCTCAAGTTCGCACAAGTCGCCTCTTGATGCATCCTCGATAAAAGGGGCGGAGCACTCCGGGGATTTGAACTGTACTTGGCTATATGTGTACTTGGGCAACGACTGATGACATTTCACAAGTCCACAAGTACAGACAAGAACACATATTGAGAAACGGCTCATGTGCAGATTCAGTGGTCTAATTTGCATGTTTGTGGTTGCGTATAGACCTTGTGTAGCTCTGCCCTTTTTCAGCGACAAGCTCTTTTTCTTTCATCTACCGTTTGTATATCCACAGCGAAGGTAAGGTCGTATGAATTTATGAACTAACCGCTCATTTTAAAATCTTCCCGGTCTACTGACATTTGTTACGACATCCGCTTTGTACATTACAATGCTCATGATAACTTTCGTTAACTCTACAAAAAGTAAATCCACTTCACCAGCTAATTACTCTTAAACAGTGATACTATAGAGGTACCAAGTTCAAAGACAAAATTCTAAAGATGGCTGCACACTTTTTCTCTGGCATAAGGTCTATACTAAATGAGGTAAGGGATTGGAGATTGGATTTATCGATGATAAATATATAAACCTGGTTGTGTTTAAAACACATTCAGTTTATTAGTACTACTACAGAAATATCAACTGTTTCATTCTTTTAAATATACAGTATGATACTGTTTTATGAAAATACAGTACAATACTGTTAGAAATTACCTGTAAATTTACAGTAAAGTTTTACAGTGTGACTGTCAAATATGCATCACATAGCATTAGTTTATGATAAAATTGCAAAATTCAAATAAAAATAAATTTGAATGCATTTCAAATACATAACTCTTAGATTTAGGCCTCAGTATTTTTGAGTGTGTTTATGATGCTTTTTTTAATTTTTGGAGTTTAACATACGTGGTCACTACGGATGGGCATTATGGCATAAAAATCAGTCAACCTTTTGTTGTCCACAGAAAAAAAGTCTAAGTGCGAGTACTGTAAATGATGACAGTATTTCCATTTTTGGGTGAACTACCCCTTTAAGTACCTTGACAAGTGATATCATGCACTGAATCTCTGCCTTCTCAAAGGAAGTGTTTAGTTTGATACCATGACAACAGTCTCTCTTACAGTAACTCTTTAGACAATTCACTTAAAGAGTTAATGATGCATTTCAGACACACTGCAGACAAATACTGAACACTAACAGCCAGATATTCTACAGACACATATACAAAATAGCTTATTTTCATTCAAGTAAAACATTTATATGACTGAAAGAACCTGGAAACATAAGCCAAGTCATTTCTAAGGTTCAGTTCACGTAGAAACAGCTGCTCGGTTTTTACAGTTCACCTATATATATATATGCGACATCTATATGTTGAATGTGCAATAATTGTGATATGTATAATAAATTAACTCAAATATAAAAACACCCCTATTACAGATCCCCAAGCAATTGTGTATTAGAGTTAATATTGTGTGTCAAAATCACAAATATCTTCACATAAACTGACAGTTTACTTTGATACCATGCCAACAAACATCTCGGCATCTCTTACAGTAACTACACAGGCATTAAAGAGTTAACCGTGATGCATTTCAGACAAACTACAGAAAAATAAGAGCTAAGTTTGCGTTTACAAAAATATATTGCTATAATACCTGAGATGTGCGCCAATTGTCATGCGTACAAAGTCAATTAATGGAATGAAACAACTTTGACAAATAAGAACAGACAGCCTTGTAAAAAAAAAAAATGTAATTGAAGATGCCCAAGCAAACCTTGCATAAACGTGAATGCTAAAAAATAAATAAACGCATACTAAATAAATAACTTTAGCACCGAGACTGAATGGAGCTCCAGCTTTGGCCCCTGGCTCACAGACAACTGCAAAATGCGTCAGACCCGATGCAGCAGAAATTTACATGCATGTTTGACAGCAGCGTGAAACGCTCTCCCGCGTATGCATGCGTGTGTCATTCATTTTGGCGCACGTTTAGCTTGTCAGTATTGGTGTCAGGTTCACTCACCGCACAGATCGAGTCCAAAATCCGCGTCTATCCGCTCCGTCCTCGTTCGTGTCTCACGGAAGGGCCCCCGGAAAGACTCTCCGCCGTCTCCCTCCGGTAACACGGTACATCCTCTAGAGAAGCTGAGGAGAGAATCCGCTCCTGTGTGTCCGCTCCGTCCGCCAGCGCCGATAATGATGATGACAAACGGCGAGCGCACATCACATCACTGAACGAGGAAGACGGGTTTCCATGACGAGCTGCTGCTGCTGCTGCTGCTGCGGGAGAAGGACGCGACCGGATCCCACACCAACCACTGGATGAATGCGAACGTGAAGGTTCGAGTGGGGAGAAGCGCCTCAGTCTCCGTCTACACCACACGGTACATACGGGGGTGTAGCGATGACTGGACATCACAGAGGAAAGAAAAAATAGCAATGAGATCTCTTTAACATCTCAGCCCATTCTCATAGACAGCAATGAGATTGAATAAAGTGCCAGTACAGTCTCCTGCTTCTCAGAATTTTCTCCTAAAAAGGTGCAGTGATCTCAGGTTTCTTCTAAATATCTCAAAAATGTATTATGTTCAGATTTGCATTGCTTGGAAAATCTACGCTGAAAAGTAAGATTCTTCAATACAAACTCAACATCTCAATCCAAGATGAAATAAAAAGCAATTACAGTCTCTTGCTTCTCTGAATTCTCTCCTAAAAGACCCCATGATTTCATGTTTCTCTCGAGATCTCAACAATGTCTCAAACTGTGTTCAAAGTTGCATTGCATCGAAAATCTACATTGATCGGAATCTGCCTTCTTCCATGATGTAAACTAAAATATTTCTCCTCTGAACATCTCAACAATGTCTGTTTAACTTTGCATTGCGTCGAAAATCCTCACTGAAAAGTCCGATTCTTCCATATGAACTCAATTATTTCTCATCTGATACTTCGAATACCAAATTATTCCAAATATTCATTAGAAAAATCACAGATGAGATCTCTTTAACATCTCAATTCCAAATTCTACATAGAAAAGGCTCAAATATTTCTCTAATTCTTGTGATCAAAAGTAACACATGATGAAATTCACAAATACCTTTATATACCTTTTGCGAATGTCTCAGATTTGTCTCTTTTCTAAAGATTCTGCAACAAAAAAGATTATGCAAAGAAGTTTTCAAACTAAACTTGATCACCAAAATAAATAAAAATAAAATAGAATTATTTTGAAGCCAAATTGAGCATTTTGTAGGAAATATATATTATATACATACTGATCTCATGAAAGTGCGTATAAATACTACGCCAAATAAAAACGAAAACTCGTGGTATTGATACGCAAAAATGGACTTTGGCGTGTATATGCTACGCGATGGGTAGGTTTAGGGTTGTGGGGTAGATGCGTATCATATGTACGCGAAAACTGCGTATCATATGCACGCCAACAAATTTCGTATCATATGCACACGAAAACTGAAAACAGTATATATATATATATACAGTATGTTTAATATCTCATTTGCTTCTATACAGCTATAAGATGAATTTAGTTCTATTTTAGGAGACATCAAATTGACACTCAATGTAAATGAAACAACTACACTCTTAAAAATAAAGGTGCTTCACGATGCCATAGAAGAACCTTTTTGTCTAAATGGTTCCATAAAGAACCTTTAACATCTGAAGAACCTTTCTGTTTCCCAAAAGGTTCTTTGTGGCGAAATAAGGTTCTTCAGATTACAAAAACACAAGAAAGAGATGGTTCTTTAAAGAACCTTTGACTGAATGGTTCTTTGTGGAACCAAAAATGGTTCTTCTATGGCATCGCTTGAAGAACCTTTTGAAGCACCTTTATTTTTAAGAGTGTAAGAACCCAATGAATTTCAAAAAGCTATGAAAGAGCAATCTCACTTTTCTCATGAAACATCTTGCGAATTTCAGAAATGTCTGCATTCCTTCACTTTTCAAACACTGACTGATTGATTAATGGAAATATTGCCACAGCAGACTATTATGTAAGTAGTATATCATATAATATGCAAATACAATCTCTATGGACGATTCAGTAGGGTATATAAAAGCAGTTTTGATATTAAGAGGTGCAGAAAAGCTTTCAGAGTGAAGTGTTGATGATGAAGATGTTTGTAACGTGGGTTTGGACTCATTCTGGTTACCTGCATTCATATAGAGTTTAAGCTTAGCTCAAGGAGATAAACGTCCCTGGGCTCAGCATTAAGGGCAGAACGGACGTGTGTGAACTGATGAACGAGTGATTGGGATGCACAGAGTCGAGCGGAGTGGTTCAGCACTGACTATAAGCTTGGATTACTCTTATGTTAGCGAGAGCCCTTCATGTTCGCAGGCGCTTGTGCACTTGACTAGGTTTAATGTTTGAAGTATGTTTCCAGAGACTCTCTATATGAGGACGCTGCATGTAAATGCACACATGCATGCATACGTGGCCGTGCACTGAAGGGCAAACACACACGTACAGCGTGTTATTAAGCAGCGCTATGGCCGCTCTGACGTCTCGACCCCTCCTTTCTTAAGAATGAACTCTCATTCCCAGCTGACAGGAACAGACGTCATGTTTCTGCTGTCGCTGTTATCACTGGCGCTGCAGGGGGTGAGCAGAAGGTTCGACCGCTTCACACACACACAAATGTAGAAGTTTCACTCACACATCAAATGCTCATCTGCACCTAAAGGACGAGTGAAAGGCAAGAACATTTGTAAATGAACCATGTCATGAGTTTTAAATGATGAAACTGGACGCTGGAGTTTATAAGAGCAGGTTTCAGCTTGATAGTTGAAGGTCAAATCAGATAACCGCTAAATAGACTCATTGCTTGCCCACATTCTGTTCTGTATTTAAGCGTTCGAATTTAGCATCTGCTAAATGAATAAATGTTAATGTACTGTACAGTGACCCTAAAAAGTTTTTTTGCATTATAAAAAGTAAAGGAGACTTAAAGACACCCTTAAAATTAACAGAATGTCTGTGCATTATATTGTTAAATATCAAAGTAAAAAAGACGGTTATTAGTTTAGAAAATAATTAAATTGATTTTCAAATTTAAAAAGCAATAGCTATATTGTTCAAAATTAAGACACTTAATGGTAGTCAAACCATGTAAGACACTATATCCCATATGAAAATTCACGTGTTACATCTCTTTGAAGTTAACCCGAAAATGACAATTTGCTGAAAATGTAGATGAGTCTGTGTAGCATTACATCACTTGCTCAGCAATGGATCCTCTGCAGTGAATGGGTGCCGTCAGAATGAGAGTCCAAACAGCTGATAAAAGCATCACAATAATCCACACCACTCCAGTCCATCAGTTAATGCCTTGTGAAGTGAAAAACTGCATATTTGTTAGAAGCAAATCCATCATTAAGGTGTTTTTAACTTCAAACTGTTGCTTTCAGCTAAAATATGAGTCCTCTATCATACTCTCGGTGAAAAAGTAATGTGATCTGAATCAGGAGAGAAATCTGCACAGATCAAACACCGTTTACAAGCCAAAACAGACCAAAACAGCTCTAAACAAACATGTGGGTGGATTTTGATGAGAGACAACAGCAGATGGACTTTTTCCACTGGAGGAATCTGTTACACGTCACTGCAAGGAAGAGCAGAGGTCGGATCCACATGCAAGCAGTAGGAAGTTTAATAAAACAAAAGCAATCCACAGCATCAAACGATGAACATAACTGGGGGAGAACCAGGCAAAAGAAACAACACGCCACAACTTCACAAAGACAACGACTGACTCAGACTGACTAAAACACAGTACTATTATACACAGAGACACTAACAAGATGACAAGGTAACAAGACACACCTGGGAAAGCAATCAAGAGGACCAATGAAACAAAAGAACTACAAGTTGACTACAAACGGCACTCTAGACAGGAAGTAACACAAATGTCCAAACACAAGACAGGGGAACAAGAGCAAGATCATGACAGAAACGTTATTACAGATTATGGACTCGTATTTTGGCCAGAAGCAACAATTTCAAGTTAAAAGCGTCTTAATGATGGATTTGTTTCTTAAAAAAACAGCTTTTCACATCACAAGACGTTAACTGATGGACTGGAGTGGTGTGGATTACTTGTGGATTATTGTGATGTTTTTATCAGCTGTTTGGACTCTCATTCTGACGGCACCCATTCAATGCAGAGGATCCATTGCTGAGCAAGTGATGTATTTTTAATACCTCAGTTGCTTCTATACAGCTACAAGATTAATTCATTTTACCTATATTAATTTCAAAGTTCTGTTTTAGGAGAAACATATGAGACAAATGTATGCTTAAATGAAACATACCCGAGAACCCAATGAATCTCACTGACTAAAGAGTAAAGTTTTTCTCTGGACTTCACCCTCATACTTTCAAACATGTCTACATTCGTTCACTTTTCAAGCATTATTTGACTGATAAATGGAAACACTGTCACAGCAGACTATTATGCAAACAGTATGTCATATATTATGCAATACAGAAAAATTAATAGACATATTATTCAAAATTAAGAAAAAAACAATCATTTGAACATTTTATGGTAGTCAAACCATGTGGAACATTTCCATAGTTGGAGAAAAGATGCTTCTAAACTCCTCAAATCTGTAACCTAAGTTGCACAAACAGGCCACTTTCAGCTTTCAAACTTTAAAAGTAGCTCAAATGATCTAGATTATAGATCTAGATGTTATTTAGGTCAACATCAAAAAGCTTCAGAGTTGAGTTCGACACAGATCTGAGCTCAAACCAGCAGGGACAAACATTCAGCTGCTGAGTCCATATGCCTCCGATTCTCTCATTCAGCTTCTCCTGCACATGCTGGAAACTCTACAGCACATGCACCTGTAAACCTGCTCTCCAGAGTAAACCGACATGCTTTAGAGAGGAAGAATGAAGGATTTAAAACACGGGCTAAAAGAATCAAGCATCACAAATCTGCATTACAGGTGCACCAAAACTAATTGAATGCTGATTCATTAGATTTTGAGAAGTTTTGACCTTTGATGGCCCCTCAGTTAGGGAAGATTAATGTGATAGATTAGGGTTAGATTTTGGAGTTCATCCTGCACCTGTCGTACAGATCGGAAATCAGATTACATCCGTTCCTGCTGATTGAAAGTGTGTTATGCAGCGTTACAGATCTAAAAAACTGATGCCAGCGAGTCTCATGATGCACTACTATTATTCAGAAATACAGTTCAGTGCATTATTTTTTCACCTGTTCACTGAACGATGGAAGACTAAAACCATAAGAAACCTGTCATTAATTGAAAAAAATTAAACTTTAACTGAAATAAAATATATTT